TTAAAGTAAAAAGAAAAGTCTTTACCTAGAGTAAAAAGTTTTCTGTGTCGAGATGGCTAAAGATTTTATGTTTATGGAATCTACATTCTTGTCATCTATTTTATTTCATGATTTAAAAAAAAAATCTTTCCTTGGGGTTGTAGAGATGGCTCAGAGGTTAAGAGCACTGGCTGCTCTTCCAGAGGTCCTGAGTTCAATTCCCAGCAACCACATGGTGGCTCACAATCATCTGTAATGAGATTTGTGCCCTCTTCTGGCACGCAGGTGTACATGCAGGCAAAACATTGTCTACATAATAAAAATAAATCTTAAAAAAAAAAATCTTTCCTTTAGAATAATTAACCCCATAGTGTCTGTTGCAAAACCTACCTTTAATATCTTCAATATTTTGATATTCTCTAATAAATACACACTTTTTGGCATTTATAAAATAAGAATTAATTTTATAGATAGTGAGATGAAAACACATTATCTGACTTTTTTAGGGTAATTACTCTTTAAGAGTTTAAAGGCAAAAGTACGCAGGCAATAAAAATGAAGCAAGGTCAATAAACATTTGTCCAAACTCACAGAATGTACAAGAGTAAGAGTGTAAAGTATAAATTTTAAATAATAATGATGTCATTACAGGCTAATTGACTCAGGTGAAGGGCTCTGAATGAGGGGGGCTCTTCATGTGAGTAAGCAGAGCAGACATGAGGAATCTCTGCACTTCTTGTTCCCTTCTGCTGTAGTCTTAAAATAAACTCTACTAAAACAAGAAAAAAAATCCTAGATGCAAAACTAATACCATGTCTAAGAAATTTAGGTTAAATAACTCAACAATTCTAATTTTTTCTTTAATATATAATCATTACTATTTGAGTTTTCCTACAGAAAACTTTGTATCTTAGAAACGAATGCTTAGAACAGTTTCTTAGGGTTTCTATTGCTGTGATAAAGCACAATGGCCCAAAGCAATTTGGGGAGGAAAAGGGTCTATTGCAGATTACAGGTCCTGGTCACACAGTCCTTCATGAGGGAAGTCAGGGCAGGAATTTGGGCAGGAACCTGGAGGCAGGAACCTGGAGGCAGGAACCTGGAGGCAGGAACCTGGAGGCAGGAACCTGGAGGCAGGAACCTGGAGGCAGGAACCTG